CCACAGAGATGATGGACATTCGCACAAACATTCCTGTCTAGACCTCAAGATAAATATTCATTTTTACCTATTTCAGAAAAATCGAAAATTATATAAAAAATACAGAAAATTTTAATTTGCCCTAGGTGAGATTAAAATTTTAATTTCCCCTAGGGGAAATTTAAATTGCCCTGAATTTTAATTTCCCCTCCAACATATATATGAAATTGTTTTATCCATTTTTTTTTCTGAAGGATTGGGACATTGAATCATTGATTGAATTTATTAGAAAAAATTTGTTTGTTTTTTTCTGATATTCTCATATTAAATTTTAACAAGAATTTTTGTATCAGTGTTACGACGTGGAGCTGGAATGATTTGTTTGATCTATAGCGAAATGATTCTAGTAGTATTTGCCTACTTCGTAAACTCAAAATATTAGAGTAAGAATATTATCAAAAAACTGATAATGATCAGTATATATCTATCAAGTATTCTGTGGTTTTGTACAAATATTTTATCGCTACTAATTTTTGGTGCCTTTGAAATGATTTGTAAAGAATATGTTTTTATTAGTTTTAACAGAATTCTAAAAGTTACAACATGCTTTTCGTTTCATTTATAGAAAACAATTTGAAAATAAAATACAGCTGCTATTTAAATGATTTAATTTTAATTCTGTTATTCAACGAAAATAAATTATCAGACAAGGGAGAAATATATGTAAAGAATATCGATATCGGATTTTGACTCAATGGTTCTTAAATCATTTTTCCGAAATGAATATATCAACGACTTTTCTCACATAAAACGTAATTATCAAGAAAATATTCTAAACAAAAGATCATATTCAACCTGTTCATATAACGAACAACCTTTGTAGTTTAATTTTTTTAAATTGCAAATGATTAGTTTGTACACCACATTCTATCCATCAAATTTCTCGATTAGCTTGGTCAATAAGTAATGATGATGAGTAAATATGTAGAAATCTTTCCAAATATCAATGAAACTTGAAAAACTTCATAAACAATTCAATGATCATGATCAATGTTTTTAATGAATGAGTGTACCCAGCAAAACAAAATGTACGGTACCCTAATGAAATAGAATTTACACACTGTTTTACACACTGAAAAAAAAGTGTGTACACTGTACACGTTGGGTTTTCTGTTTACACGGTCGTACGAAAACTTTCGTGCTTTCATAAAAAGAAAACAAATCTATCTATTCAATATGATCAAAATTATATATCCCATCCAACATTTTTAGTAGGAATCTGAAACAGAATGTATGTATACACTGTGTTTTTCCGAGCATTCAAAACGTGAGAAATTAAATACAAGTGATATTTTAACAATTTTCTTTTTATGACTGAAAATCAACTTTTTAGCTTGTGTACATTTTGTACACGTTGATCTTCGAGGCAGGAGTGTACGGATACATCATGCTCGGAAAAACACAGTGTATACATACATTCTGTTTCAGATTCCTATTAAAAACGTTGATCATGATCCATATAAATAAATACCGATTATGTAAATAGAAGCAAACGAATAAAAATCTAGCTGTAGATTAGTAGCTAATCGAAATGTCTTTGCATTATTTTTCATGTACATAGCTGAATACAATAATGATTCAAGCCAATGACAAAATGCTACAATTATTTTTCAACATGATACAATGTACCTAACCTTCGAAATTACAAAACAATCAGAAATAATTCTTGTCGCTTCAAAAAAAAAAGAATTAAAAAACAATTTTCATTTCGACTTTATTTACACAAAAATGCATCTATATACATATGAAATCATGATAATCTAATTTCTATAGATCTTTCATCCCTGTTAACTGTAACCTTATGTTCATGGATAGTATTAAAACCAAATGCTTGACGACGTTTATCAATGATGTGACTATACGTGAAAAAGGCTGATTGAATATTGCAGGTGTACTATGACCAATGTTAAGATAAGACAAATTTTGTTGATGACTAAGTAATATATCAATAGCAGATTCAAAATAGTTGAATGAAGCTACTCGAACTTCCATATGAGTAAGTGATGGAAAAAGTTTAACAAGGTTTGATACCAAATCTGAACAAACATTACTATATCTTGTTATTAAATTGAGTATTTTAATTTGTTTGAAAATTGAAATAAGAGATGGATTGTCGATTATCGATGCTAAATACAAATATAAAGGACTAATTTTGAGATCAATCACGTTTGGACATGCTCTAAAAATTGAAAAATTAAAAATCTACTGAATATAATAAACTCTATTGTCAACGATTATTATTCTATAGAATTCAACATCATCTATCTCACATAAAATGATATTATTCATTGAGAAAACACATTGGAAATATCAATGAAAGCTCATAGATTTAGAAATCCAAATAGGAAAAATGACTTTCCATAAATATCAAGTAAATTTATTGTAGAATAAACTTAATATCTGCAGATCCCGATGGGTCAACATTTGTTTCAAAGTTAATTTTAGTTACATTGGATAAATGAACAATATTTGAAAGATAAGCAACATATTGCTGTTCGTCATCATTGTCATTTGATTGAACCCAGTTCACTAAAAACATAAAGATAATGAATAAAAACGATGGGACGAATAATCAAATCAAAGTTGTTTGTATATGATAAAAGTTGGAAACGAAAAATTCATTTTCATCAACTAAACGATATAAGTTAAAACAAATGTGTTGTTCTTACCAAAACTCAATGACTTGTCCCACGATGAATGTTTTGTTCGCATATCTATGACAAGAGAATTGATATGTTGAAATAAAGGGAAAGAACGAGCAGTTTTTGGTGTTATCTTTGTCATGTTCAATTTTAAAATTTTTATGTCTGAATAATAAAGATAATGATCATTTGTTGTTGTCGTTGTTGTTCTTGTCGATCGTGTCTCAAATAATTCATAATTAATGAGTGGAATATTTATTTGTAGATTTCTTTTGTATTGATGATAACCAATCGTACGTAACATAACATACTCCACTATAAGAGAAAAAAACTTTTATGTTCAAAAGAATTAGTTTCCGAATAAACAGATACTCCTAGATTCAACGTTTGCGTCATCACTGTCAAATAATTGGTTGTCTTTGCATTGCTTTTGATATTTTATGAATATTCCTTACCTCATCCTAACAAAGTCGATTTTAAATATTTTTCTTATTCCTTTTTTAGTAAACATCTCATGAATGCACACTCCTATTGAGCGAAGGTTCGTACCATGGCTTCTCCACTAGAGCCTCAACCTGAAGTTGTTTTCATCTTTTAGTTACTTTCTTATTGCTGTACACCGTCTTTAATAAGATAAAAGCAGAGAAATTCATTTGCTGATTGCATTCCTATTTGACGATGAGTTTTCTGTATTCTTACTTTCCAATTTAGAGCAATTTTACTTACGTGGATTTTCGGCATCAGGTCCCCATCGATCTATAATCATTTGCCATTCGGGATATTTCTGAACGAAATATTGAAATGAATTTACGACCACGTCTAAATCTAATTTTGGATGTTCTTTCAAAATTGAGATATGAAAATCAAATTTAGATAAAAAAATGGCACATGCATGTCAAACATTTATTGCCATGGA